GCACGCACGCACGCACTCACGCACGCGCGCACGCACGCACGCACGCACGCACTCACGCGCTCACTTATGCACACACTTACGCACGCACCCACCCACGCATGAAAGCACGCAGTTATAGGCACGCACTTACGCACGCACGCAGGCACGCACGCACGCACGCAGGCACGCACGCACGCACGCACTGGCACGCACGCACCGGCACGCAGGCACGCAGGCACGCAGCACGCACGTACATGCGCGCATGCACACAGATTCGATGCAGACAACCGTACAGGCACATTGTATTCAGACAACTGTACGGGCGTATTGCCCTAAGGGTCCAAGTACCCAAATAGCAGGGTTTCAAGGTCCAAAAACCACTCAGAGTATGGACTTTGGGACCTAAAACCTTACTATTTGGGTACTCGGACCCTCGGGGTTGTATTACTTGTTTGTCTGTTGCGTGGCGGCTTGAAACTCTCCTGCCAAGTTTGGTGACGTACACTTGCAATTACGACGATTCACACCCATGCAAACTGTGACGCAAGATTTGCATTTGCAAACCCTGCACGTTGCGGCACTGCGAATCATGCTCTGACACGCCACACTCCAACATACTCCAACAGCTCATGCACCTCACATACTTCGAGCAATGCCCAATTATGTAGGAGTCACAATCATTGAGACGCTTCGCGTTGTAGAGACCAAGTGAACGAGAGACGCCAGTGAAACTAAGTGAAAGCACCCTGTCAAGATGGCACCTGAAGATACCAAGAAACATTTGAGGAAAGCGCAAAAAGCGATTCTCGACGCACATACGAGAGAAACCGATGCCAAGCGATCCGAAGGGTCACTTTGCTTCAGCCCACGGACCCTGCAATCCTCCCAAAGAACGAGGTTGCACAAGTTTGGTGACAACTGGTTTCCTACATAGGGGACTGCCATGGACTGCCTCTCCTCCTCTCCTCTGTGCGAATCATCGGGAGCTCGATGACTTTCATCAGGTCACCTGCAAAGATCTGCAAAGACTTTTTGACAAGTTGGACAGCCACCTCGCAGCGGCAGCACAACCAACGGAGATGGAGCCAGATGCAACTGCTTCAAAACTTCAAGTCGGGAATCGGGCTAGGTTTCCGGCGCCGAGCCCCACGGAAACCTATTACGCAGTGAGTCGAAATCAAAACGGAGAAGTCGTGTCGAATCAGTGCCGAGCCGAAGAACGGCTGGCGTTGCTTGCGGCCTGGTGCGACGTAGGGCTTTCGTTAAACATGCAGCCCCTAGCTGAGTAGACCAGTGGACCCTACTGAACTTTGCATTTTGTGGCGAGGGCGACAGTAGCATGCAGACATATGGAGACATGCAGAGTCACATTGACTGCACACTGTCGCACTTGCACTCACGTCATCAATCGCTCGCGCGCACACATGCATGCGAGAAAGACGCCCACACACACACACAGACACACACAAGATTCGCCCGCCCGCACGCATGCGCGCACGCACTCGCACGGGTGCGTGATCCACGTGCATGCGTATCATGCGTATGTTCACACGCACATGCAAAAAGCATGCGCGATCATGCGCGTGCAGCAAATGAGACACGCAGCAAAGTACACGCCGGCACCGGCATTCTCGCTCGCGCGCCTCCTTGTACTGTCACGCACATGCGCATTTGCGCGCGAGCTCACTGGCATGTGGAAGTGTTTTGTTGGTGCACATTGGTATAAGTAATGTTTTTTTTCGAAACCTTAGTCGGTGGGGCTGTGTATCTTCAAAGCCATGATGTCTTAATTAGGTCTTGGGGCTTACTTAAGCTCATGCCATGTCAGAACGGAGGTATCCACGAATCCGGAGCGTTTTTGGCAGACTGGGCGAAGATGGGCGACGTTTTTAACATTTTGAGCCGGATAAGTTCACGACGCGCGCGCAACCAGCGATGTGACCTCCAAACGTTGCAACGGGCCTGAGGTGCAAGTCCCACTGCACCATCTGCACCACAATGCTGTCAACGAGTGCGCAGCATTTTGAACCGGCCTGAGCGGCTGGCCATGCCATGGCACGCCACGTGCTCCATGCCTTCCTGTGCAAAAGTTGGCAGCTCTCCCCCTTTTGCTTCTACTGGATGACAATGAGCACGCGAGTTTCACTCTACCTTGATTCCACCACTTATTGAGCGCAGGAGGGTTCATCCTAGGTCCTATACCCATTCAGAAGTGTCATCAGAAGAGTCACAGATGCAACATGATCATGCCCCATGAGGCAGCAGTGATGCGTGCAGTCCTTGCCGATAAAGCAACGTTGAACTCATACTGATGTTGCCATCACCAAGCTGCTGATGGGTGGCGCAAAGCCCCAGACCTCGGGAACTCTGAGCAGCAAGAATGCAAACAGGCGGAACGAGCAGCGCACACGATGAGATGGGAAATGGTGACCTTGCATATCATGCAGCTTTGGTACTAGTTCTCGGGTGGCCAATGACACGCTGAAAGCGAGGTCAGGCGAGTGCATCGTCTCTGAAGCTTTGTGGCACACAGATGGGGCGCTTGTGCTTTGCGCACTGTGCAGGTGTAGTCTGCAGTGAGCTGCTGGCTGTAAGGAACATGACAAACTTCAAAGACATCGAAATCAAGAGGACCAAGGGTAAGTCGGGAGCTCAGCATAGGGTGGCGCCTTTGCTTGCAAGATGTAGCTTAGCTGTTTAGATTACTACACTTAAGCTTCAGCTGCATCGCTTCGAGCCAGCATTACACCGCTGTGGCATGGTGTAGTGTGGAAGAGTTCCAGCTCTCATCACCTCGACAGAGATAAGCGTTCCGGGCAACAAGACGTCTTGGCAATTCAGATGCTTGCATCCTGTGGACTCGCGTTGCATGTGCAAGGTTTGCTTTACGAGATTCAACGTTGCAAATTGCGGGCGCTGTTGTGGTCGGCCCTTGCTGGGCACCGTGATGCAGCGAGCCACCAGCACAATGTGTGCTTGCGTCAGCGGGAAGAGACAAGGCAAATTGAAGCCGAGAGATACTCATATCATTTCTGTCGGACCACTAAAAGCACATTATGCTGAGCATGTCTCGGTGCACTCATCGAAGCTCCTACTCGTATCCACTCGGTGCAGTGTCCGGACCAGGGTCGTTGCGACTGGCTGGGCCCTGTACGTGCGTGGGTTTGAATCGACTTCGGCTGTCAGGTTGCTCTCCAGCTCGGCCCACAGCTGTAGAAAGATGGCAGTGCAGAAGAGATTCGAACATCGTCGAACGTTAACGGAAATGCCAGCTGTCTCTGGAGAATTCTGCAGTCCTGCAGTTGCATCGTTCTGGGTGGGAGATGGGATCCACAGGTCTGGCTCCGCGAAAGTGTGTGGGTCTTTTGCCAAAACGATGCGACCACTGACAACTGATATGGAGCTACAGGGTTAGCAAAACAAGCCAGTCTGAAGCATAAGCACAGGAAGCCCTTCTTGGCCCAGCCGCTGCCTCCTGAAGACGAGGCGCTAGATGGAGGTCTCCTTTCTTCGTCACACGGAGTACGGCATGTCAATTCGTGGCAAGGCTCCCAATTGGAATGTGAACTGCTCCCACGAAGGCAAATGGGCGATCATCTCAGCGACAGTCGCGCGAGGTACAGTAGCTGAAGACTCCGTGTAGCCAAGAGCAAGTGTGATCCTGAGTCCCAGGTTGTGTGTGCCAGCGAACCGCACGTCATCGCTGGCATTGACGTAGCAGAGTCTGCGACTCGAGTCCATAGATATCTAGGGCATGCGATGAACCACCTCAAAATGCTGTGTTCGGAGCTCATGCAATCCCCGGCCCACAGCCATGACGAAAGAAGCTTGGACCGTTTTTACATCCAGTCTTTCTGCGGGTGCGCACTGAGTCACTGAGCGCAGGGGGAAGGGGAAACCCTCTCCTCAGGCCCGCAGAAAGAAAGAAAGACAAAAGGAGAGACAGAGAGAGACTTGGCAGTGACAAAATTATGACCCGGGTGCCCTGACAGGATGATGGTGACACCGAGGCTGACGATTGCCAAAAACCCTTCCTCCCGAGCCCAGCCAGCACACGGCAGCAACAGATCACGCTTAGACACAGCAGAAAGCGCCTACGGGAGGGAGCGCGGGACACCAAAGATTAGGAGCAACACAGGCGCTGTTGCGTCCAAGAAGGGGAAGACACCTACAGCCGGGGGCGCCATCGATGAAGGACATGTTGCAGGGCGAGCATTTCCACTCGGATGGCAATAGAATAACTTCGGCGACTGGGGCCAAACAGCGCCGTCATGAAGGCAGGGGGGAACAAAGAAGAACGAACAAAGCTGCCAAGCAAGCGCTCAAGGTTCAACTCCAGAGACTCCCAGAGGCACGGGACAAAGAGCGGCATACTCCTGCCGGGCCCCTTCATATCCCAAGCAGGAGATCCAGAGGAAAGTGCCAAGTGGGCGGACCTTTGAACAGGCACCAGAGACCGCGTGAAGGAGAGGCACAACTAGGTTGGAGTAGCGGCGCGGCAGTAAGGGAAAACGCCCCAGAGGCCACACAGCACCGTTACCACCCGAAACGGAGAGTATCAGACCAAGGGAGATCCCACATCGGTATCCGGGAGTAAGAAGGCCAACAGGCTCCGCCAGCACGAGCCCCAGTTGCAGCTGCAAAAATCATCATCATCATCGTCATCATCATCGTCATCATCATCGTCATCGTCGTGAGACATGGCTAACGCCGCAGTCCATTTGGGATGTGAAAAGGTTGGATCACCATCAGAATCCGCATCGCAACCGTCACCGCAACCAGTATCGACACCACCACCTCCGCCCCAATGCTACCACCACCAGGGCCGTCATCCTCCTCATCATCATCATCATCATCATCATCACGACCACCTCCTCCGTTTATTATTTTCAGTGTACTGATGCTTGCTGTTCCTGTGCCTGTCAACCCTTGTCCGATTGAAGGCATGCTCTTCAATTCGAGGTCAGGACTTTCCAAAGATAAGCGCGGGGATCGGAGTCCAGTGGCTTCGGGTGGGAGGTTGGGTGGAAGGGGTAGGAGTATTTGGTTGGTGTGTATGTGTGTGTGTGCGCGCGCACCTCCTGTCCCAAAGGATGTAGGCGGTAATCACTAAAGTTGCGAAAGCCTTGTGCAGTTCAGTCTCACCTTCAACAAGCAAGATGCAAGATGACGGATTGTAATCACTTACATAAGATCATTGGGCCTTTTTTGCAAGAGCTTTGCCAGTGTTTTGCGACTCAGATCTCACCACAAGGAGAGGCCCAACGGCCCATCTCTCCACGTTGTCCAACGAAGCTGAGAGAGAGGAGGTGGAAGCAGGATGGGACGCCATGCTGTGTACCTGCCAGTAGGCTGCACCTGGATCCCGTCGTGGACAGCTGGAGGGCTTACGCAACACATAAAAAAGCTGGAGATGTAACGTTCTATCTAACTAACACAAACAGCATCCATCCAGGTAAGGATGACTGGTCTGCATGTGTGTGCGTGCGTGTTTGTGCTTGTGTGTGTGTCTGTATGCTACTAGTAAGCGCGATTACCATTTTGTGCGAGGGATGGTTGTTGGCATGCAGCCATTTGCCTGAAGTGAGGCTGCGCAGAAAAAGACGAGACGGGGAACCGATAGACTTCCACGATGTCTTCAAGGAGCACCGGCAACGGGTGCCAAGCACGGTGCACCGTTAATGACCTAAAGGACAACCTCACTTGGAAAGAGTGGCAGTATGTGAAAGAGCACGGTCCCTGCCTTGACCGAGAGTACGAGGTGAGAGCCAAAATCTGAGAAGCAAGAAACACCGACAATAGGGGGCTCATTGGGTCAGGCCTTCTCGCGTTTCTGGTCGGCGAAGGAGGCCTTCGTGAAAGCGCGAGGGGATGGTCTTGCCTACCCATTGGGCAAGGCCAGTGTGCCGGATGTCCAAGGTAGTGTGTGATGTGCAAAGATGTGCATGAACCATGTCCCAATATGTCCCACATGCTGCTGCCGCTTGAAAGGCAGAGTTCCATTGGAAGCCAATTGACGGCTACGAGTTCGGGACTGCCTTTGAGGGCGACGTTCACATAGAAGGCCTTGCAGCCTGCAAGTCAGCAGTCCTCAAGCTGAATGGCTTGTCATAGGTACGCACAGCCCGAAGTGGCGGTTCGTGCAATATAGGACCGAGGATTTGCTCACGGCCCTCACAATGTCTCAGCTTGGAACTTCTGCAGGATGCCCGGGGACTCCCCTCATTGGACGACGGTTGGTAGAGGACCGTTGACCGACATTGTAGACGCGTGCCCCGGCCGTGCTTGGGGTTTCTGTGGCCAGGTAGCCAAACTTGAGCTGTGTGGTGGCAGCAACCCACAAAAACCACCAGGAATTGCAAATTGTGGCTAGGATGATTTCCGAAGCTGGCCCGATAGCCTACAGGTGGTACGGTGGTACATTGCCTTCCAGCTGTGATGAGGAAAATGCGCATATTTGAGACTGGCAGGTTGAGGACAGTGACCCCGCAATTAGGCAGGGGTCTTCCGGACGTAGATAGACAGTCCAAGACTTTCCAAGGCCTGACGACTACCTGACGACACACAAACCAAACGCCGTCGAATGGCGACCCAAGTGTTTCCAGCAAAGGCAGACGGGCAAGCTGAACAATGGCATACCGAAGCGCCCTGTGATGCGCAACAGCACGCCAAACCAGAGGTGCGCCAACTGCCAACTGCAAAGTCTAGTGCGAGGATCCTCACTACTGGATCCACTCGCATCAGCACCAACTACAAACTCAGGCCCTCTAACGACGGACAGCTCTGCCACTGTCCGCCTGCTTCCAGGTGCCTCTTCAGCTTCTTGCGCACAGATTCGTGGATACCGGTCCAGCCCCTCAGCGCAATACCTGGCAACAGGACGACTCAGGACGACTGTTGCTCAACATTACGCATATGAAGCTATGCAAGCCAATCCAGGGGTGCCTGCCCTGCCCTCTCATGTTTCTAATCCTCGTACAGAAGGCGACGCAGAGTGGGAATAGAAGCCTTTCAGGGTCGTCCCGAACACCTTTAGGAACTGTAGAGATTGTAGAGCGATGGTAAGATCGCCGCCCTCGTCCAACCCTCGTCCTCCCGGAGGCAAGGCCCCAGAACGAGATGCTTGCGAGCTGCAAAAGGGACAAGATGTGGCAGCGAAGGTGATGTACTCTAACATCAACTCCAACATGCTCAGCTGAAGGCACAGTCCGACATTCAAGTCCAGGCGCACCCCATTCAAGATCCTTCCGCGCACACATGGGAGAAGTCAAGGGCCCCTTCTGCGCCTCCCGACAGATGCCCCAGCACCAAAGAAGGTCAACGGCTGACCCCATTCAAGAAACCATTGATTTGCTGAGTCGCTCCGGGTCCGGGTGAGAGGCCTCAGCAAGCCGCCATGTAAGCGCATCACAACCTAAACGATGAAAGCCGGCGCGAGCGAAGCGAATGCACTTGCATTCAGCAGTCGGAGCTTACAGTCTGCGGATGCCTGCGGCCAGTTGGGACCTTTGAGGGCCTCGGCTCCGGATTCTTTAGGCTTCTTCCAGGCAGGCTGGTATGCAGGCTCCACCCGCATAGCCAGCCGGCTCGCGCCTTGGCCAGAACCCATCGGCGTGCCAACACCGTCCAACCTCCTCACCAAATGCTCATCTTCACCATGCGGACGGGAAGGATGTGACGGCAAGAGGGAATGACCGAGACGAAGAACAGTATTGAACAGAACCAGACACTGTGAGCAGCAAGTCAGTGCGCTGGTTCGTCTCCGTGAGAGTAGTTCAGGCACGGAATGATGAGGCTGGGTTGCAGGAACAGTGAAACACGGATGTCACAGGACAATGCATTATGGAACATCGACATAAGTTGACATAGGTAAGAAAGGAAGTAAGGAAGGAAGGAAGCAAGCAAGCACACAAGTCAATGGCTAGATAAGGAAACCTTTAAATGCATGAATGGATAAAACATCAAAAAGCAGACTGATAGACAAATAGATGAATAATTAGATACATAAATAGATAAACGAAAAGATGATTGGCAATACCAGTACATAACTATACAGGTATCGAGCATGCATATACATACACATACACGGTTGACATACACACATACATATGCATGCACATGTACAAAGCTTGTACAAACACGTACACACATACATATACAGTGTGTATGTGCATATATGATAATCATATATGTATGTAATTAAACACCCGGGATACACATACAAATGCAACTACAGCAACAAGTACAGCAAACATGCATAGATTGCCTACCTACCTACCTACCTACCTACCTACCTACCTACCTGCCTCCCTGCCTGCCTGCCTGCCTACCTGCCTGCCTGCCTGCCTGCCTGCCTACCTACCTACCTACCTACCTACCTACCTACCTACAGAAATACATGTAATGTAACATGCATATTCTGCATTTTTCATGTTGTTCGTCTCAGTCCGGGGGCTACAGAGGTTGTCAGTTTCACAGCTTGTCGCCAGGCACGGGGAGTTCACGAAGACGCTACGGAAGCCCCAGGAGCTCTTCTCTGAACTTGAGTGGCAGGTGCGATCGAAGTGCCAACGGTCGAGCGTTACCGATGCGTTTGACAGGCCCACTTGGAGTCCCACAGCCCTCATTTTGATGTCCTTCCTGTGGGTGCTCTGGTTCCGCAGGACACTGCAACAACTCTGCGACGCAATCATTGTAGCTTGAAGCACGACGCAGTTGCACAGCAGGATAACATGGATGCGTATGTGGCGGCCGGTGGCATTCAATTTCCTTGAAACAACCAAAAGTACAGGCTTTGTTCGTCGCCATCATAGCTTATTTCAGGAGTTTTGCTGCACAGCTTTCCCTGTTTTGCCGAAGGTGTGAACAGGAGCACACATAAGAGTAAGGAAGCAGCGGTGCGCGCATCCACACCGCTTGGTCTTTCTCAGAGCACAAGCCGCTAATTCATAGTCTTTCTTGATGATTCAAATACTAAGCTCCGTGCGAAACACTTGCAGTTTCCGTCTCACGACTACATGCTGAGAGTTGAAAAGAGGGCTTGGGTGAGAGGAGTATCTGAGTATCATGATCACATTAGGAGGATGCTGCACTTTGACACTCAGCATACTGCTGTACAAAGAGAGACTGTGTGCAAGCAGCTTGGACGCTTATTCGATGCGGCGCCAGAAAAGTGCCCGGACAGCACATACGAGCCGGCGAGGCTTCGGCATGGGGCGGGTGAGGTCTGAAGTAGTTGGGTGGAAGAGCCTGAAGCCAAACCCGCACGTTGCACCTAGGAGCACTGACAAGCATCTTCTGTTCGGCCCGTTTGTGTGACACTTGCCCTTTGAGACCTGACAGTGAGGTCCCGAATTGTGACAGCACTCAACGCAGGTTTGCACTGCGGGTGTGTGATGATCGAGCTGGGCCACAACATGGGGAAAGCTTCGCAGACAAAAAACTCGCAGCTTCCGGATGCTCGAGGATGATTCCGGACGCGTAATTCAGATCTCGTCTTGGGCGCACTTGGAGGGTGACGGGAAGGCTGCAGCGGGATGTAGACAGGGGCACGGGCGGCCTCGCCGCAGTGTAGCGTGCAGACGAAGAAGCCAGGCAAAAACTCGAATGCCAGGTCCGGGCTGTGGACTAGAAACTTTCATCGACCCGATTGCGCTGTTGATTTGTGGTTCTGTATCGATATGACAGGCTCGTCCGCCAACAGAACATGTCAAGCACGGCAGGAGTTGACACGCAAAGTCTTTTGGAGTCGGGATTGAGTGAGGCTGTGCCAACGAATCTCTTGTCATAAGGGAGACTCTGGAATCTACACGCGCATGTAGCTGGCCGGAACAGAGCGCTCCGGTACCTCGGGGCGGAAGCAAGCATGTAATGCCCCCTTGCGAAAGTAAGGTCGTTTAGCTTAGTTAGGATGACGACGGCTCGAAAGCGCACCTTGAACTCGCAGGCGAGCTGCTCCTCAGAGACAGTCACGGGCGTGGCAATCTAGCTTGGTAGCTTGTGAGCTTGAAGGTGTGCTGCGATGCTCGTGCCACACGTCCCTGAGCCATCCTGGAGAAGCCTGGATAGGCACAGCTCGCCGGTGTGCCGCAAGTGTCTCGAAGCCATCGACTGGGGGGCGGCAAAAGGGAGGGGGCTTGGGGGAAGAGCAGATTGAATTGATTTGTTTGCGCCAGCCTTGTTTGTGCCTGCTGGTTCAGGCTCTTGGCACATCGATTCGATGGAGCAAGAAGCCCAGACGTTGGCCACATCATGCCACGAAAATAGGTTCCTCGCTTTTCACTTTCTTCTTTGGAAATCCCAAGGTCGGATGCACACTCTGTACGCAACACTCTCGGTTCCACTTCAGAACGCTGAGAGAGGGCAGCTGTTGGTGGTCGTGAGGTGTTGTTTTGACAGCTGTGGCGCCTCCACCGCCACACCCCCACCTGCTGCTAGCTTACAGGGCCTGACAGGGACATTCACGCATCGCCTCGGTTACGGGCTGCGAGCTGGAAGCTCCGAGCAGCCGTGTCTTCGCTTGTGTCGCAGGTCAGAACTTCTACCCAGAGAGCACCGACAGGTCGCAACGAGCCGATTCTGACATGCTTCCCGAAAAACTCTCCACGCCATGGAGGTACACAGAGAGCCCTCCAGAGACCCACCGGAGGAGTCTTGAAATGTCTTGAACATGTAACTCAGGCAAGGTGCGAAAATGAGTCGGTGAGGATCTTGGCGATGCCTTGCTGGGGAGACATTCGAAGCTCTATCAGCTGAGACCTCGAGTTCAGAAGATGTCAGATCTCTATTTCGAGCCGCAATGCTTTGCATATCTTGCATTCGCAGTTTTGCAGGCGTCGGAAAGAAGTGGAAGCAGAGCTCAAACAAGAGTTCAGCTTGCGGGAAGCTTAAAGTCTTTGCTTGGCGACCTCGGCGCGAGTAGACTGCTCCTAGTGGCACGATGCAAGGCCAGAAGAGGCGACTGCAGTGCTGCATGAGTTGAGATCGAGGCTCCATGCGACTTGCACAGAGGAGTGTAACAGGGGACGATGAGTTTTCAACCCGTCATGAGCAGCAGGAAAGGTGTCCTCTAAAGGCTGTCAAGCAAAAGCCAGCGAAGCTTGCCTAAGCCGACCATCATCACGCTTTCCCCTCGTGTGATACTGCAGGTTTCAGCACCTGAGCCCGAATGAGGATTCTAAGTGTCGTTTGTCGGCCTCAACAGCTCGTAACGTAGCCTTTGTGAGCTTGTTTGAGCTGTCCAGGCGATCGACACCGCTTGGGTACCCTCCACCAGTGCCAAAACCGCGTGTGGGTGCCTCCCTTAGAACATTCGAAGCAGGGAAGTAAACTTGATGACTCAACTGCCAAGGCAAGTCCAAGCTGCTGGAGCCGGCATGTTTCAAAAGTGGACGGTGTTGTGTTGTGGGTAGTTGGGCGCATCGTCAGTCCGCCCATTCCGAAGCTGCCCGAGCAGCATCGTCCGCCGCGTGAGATGCTCACTACAGAAATCCGTCGAAGTCGTGCGTCACCAGTTTTGCTCCAAGGCTGGGGGGTTGGAGACGCCTCGGAGAACATCGCTACAGCGCAGGACCAGGACTGGCTGATGTGGCAGCGAATCTGCGCTGAGCCTGTGATCCTTTCTCGGAGAGGCAGATGCCCAGACACCATGGTGGAAGAATCGCACTCAGATCGTGTATTTTCGTCATGGATCACGTAGCACTGCATGTGAGTCTTGGGGTCAGGCTGTTGGAGGTTGCCTGGATTATTAGTCCTCGAGTCTTAGTGTTTTCGCTCCGATCTTGGACGGGCAGCAATCACGATTGCTGCGAGGCATGGAAGGAGGCTGACGTCTGGTTTTGTCCGCCTGGGCTTTCGAGCTTCCTTTAAAATTCAGCGGCAGTCTTTGGATTGGACAGCAGAGAGGTTCGGTGGACATGGCCTAGACTCTAGACCAACTCTCCTGTTCGTCAGGCAACTCGCGAGTGTCGAAGGCTTCTTCTTGTTCTGTGGTATTTCAGGTTGTTTTGTCGCACATGATTGACAGTGACGTGTCTGTCGGCCTGCTGCCACAGTGTTTGTGTGTGTGTGTGTGCATGTGTGTGTTCGTTTCTGCATGCTTTCTCTTGCCGCTAGTAAGTTGTTCCATGTTGCTGTAGAGACTGTACAGCTTGGTATCCGAGAAGCTGTGTGGTCAGAGCTCAGGTTGGAACAGGAGATCTTGGCTAGGCCTTATGGATGTGTGCGCAGTGCAGGGTTGCTCAGAGTTGCTTTCAGGCGGAGTTCGGACAGGCGAGCTGGTGTTTCAACCGGCAGCCCGGGTCGTGCAAATGCGTTCAGTTTTGTGAAGGCAGCTGACAGCTGAACATGTTGCTTGGCCCCCAGGCTTCAAGAACTCCCCCCAGTTCATCTCTAAGCCCAGAGGACCAGCGTGACCAAGCGGACGAAGCTGGCGAGGTGGATTCTTTCGCACGTATGTCATGGTTGCTGTGCCATGTTGGGAAGTTCATGCTGTTGCTCCACTGGAAGTTGCAACAGGACTTCACCACGTTTGACCGAACCTTGCAAAAGCGCCCTCAGAGCACGGCACTTATGCCGCAGTTTCCTGTTCAGTTGGCCTGCTTGACATCTCGGCTGCCAGGTTGGAGAATGGGCAGACCTGATCAGCTCAGGAGCCGTGGAGAAAACGTCAGCGTCTTAGACGTCTTTGCTGTGTTATACGGAGACATGTGCAGAAAGAGCCGCCAAGTCTTGCAACATTGGAGAACGGCCCGACAACACCCAAGCGAACACAGCAAAGACTCAAAGAGTCGATGCATGGGTCGAGGTCAGACGCTTCAAGATGACAATCCACCCACGAAGAACGAGGAAACACACCGGTAAGCTCCAACTCTCCCATGTGCACAGCATCACGCGAAAGTTATCTAGAATCTGGTGCTTCTTGTCGCTGTTCCAAACACTTGACAGTCTCCTTGTGTCAGGGCTAGGCGACTGACCCGTGACTCATTCCAAATCGTGTTGGGTGAAAGATGTCTGTGAAGTATCTCTCAGGCGTCCAACTGCCTTTTCAGACGTTTTTCCTAACGATCTCTACGGGCAGGCAGCAGTTCCTTTCCACCTCACCAGAAGGAGCCCAACCGGATCGGCAATTCTGGGGGCAGTCCGGTTTACTTCTTGGCCTCCACGACACGTTGATGTCTTCAACCTCACTGCCAGGTATTGAAGCCTAAAGGCTCAACCCTGCACGAGAAGAAACCTCACCCAAAGGCTTGTACAGTTAGCTCCTTCAGGAGAAACTCGAAGTCCCTAAATTGGAATCCCGTAAGAAATACTGAAGCCGTCCGGGTGCGATGTCTTTCCTCTCAAGAAACTCGTGCCACGCATTGGGAGGGAGCACGGCGGGCATTGGAGGGCGTGGCAACGACTCCGATACGCCAAGACGCTGCTAGCAATCACAGTCAGCTCTTGGAGTTAAACTCTCGACGGTTCGGTGCCATGCCTGGATTCGTCTTGGCTTGGATGTGATATGCAGACCTGCCAAGGCGAGCCAGCAGGACGGGCACTTAATGGTGACATGTGACATGGTGGCGTGCTTGCTGTTGACCATGTGCAGGGTTGAATCTGCGAAACTCGCTAGCAGCGGCTGCGTGTACACACCTGCTTGAATTGGCAACTCCAGCTTTGCGCATCTTTGCAACATCTAGGTGTCGCTCGAAAAAGATAGGATATCCTGAATTCAGTGTGGACAGCTGTACATCATCCAGCTAGGCTAGCGAAACTCGAGTTCGGCTTGATGCGGATATCTCCTTCATAATGTGGAGGAGCAGCGATGTAGGGGCCATCGGGATGTGACAAGGAATGGAGCTTCCAAAGTACAAGCATGTTCGCAGTCCGGTGGTGCTGGAATAGCAGTGTGAGCCCGTGGTTTTGCATCCCGCTCGCGTGGTGACTGTACTGTGGGTTGGGACCGGCACTGCCATGGCAGCTCCAGGATGTAATGGCTCGTGGTGAGCATCGCATGAGCCAGTTGTGATCTGCACTGTGTCAGAGCGTGTGCACCATCGCACTGTCGCTGCGATTGAATTGCAATATTGCTTGGCGTCCGCGAAAGGCCTGCGCTGCCCACAGTTTCGGTATCACATCTGCTGCAGACGTGGACCCGGGTGCTGCCCTGTGCCCTGTCTGGGCCACTGCGCCTTGTCGGTGCAGAAGGCTCCCGATGTAGACCGACCCGCTCGTCGAGTGAGCCGTTTCTATATACACTCATTGTGTTGCACGTCCGCTTACAGATTCGAGTTTAATCGGGATCATGAGTGCCGTTTTCTGGATTTCACTGGGCTTCGCATCCAATCGCTCTTATATGGGTCGGCACAGAGCAAAACACTTCTGCTGGTTTCAGCTTGTCCCTCCCCTCTTCTCTCCTCTCCCCTTCCATCCTCCCTTCCTTCTTGCACGAAGGGAGTCCGGGGCTACCGAGTGCAGCCTGCGAGGTTGGCGCCGGCAAGCGGCTGCACGTCCGCCAGGAGTTCGTGCAGTTCAGACACCGTATACCCGCGACGCAAGCCTGACCAGCGAGCGGAAGCGCAAGCGGAAAGAGCGTAGGCACGCCTCGCCGCCACAGCGAGCGTTCTGGATCACCTCTGCACTGGGACCCAGCCTGCGCGTGCAGCCGCTCGTAGCGGTTCCGCGGACGCCGGCTGCGCAGTGCCGTGCCAGGAGGCGCAGGAAGGAGGCTGCTTCGGTGTTGAAGCGCCCACCGACCTCAATCCCGAGAACGACAAGCCGCGCACGTCTGGTGCCTTGGAGTTCGGGGTACTGGCAGGTTTGGCACTGTTTGCGTCGGGCTGCGTCCTGCACTGGTGGCTGCGGGGCGGGTGTCCGTGCCAGACCGTGCGGATCGGGTGACTGGGTTGATCGACGATGGCGGCGTCGATCGCGAGCCTGGCGCCATGCCACATGGGCCCCGCGAACCGTGCATATCTGCCCTTGTCTCTGGATGGTCTGCCTTGCTTTCCTTCGCGGCCGCCCACGCCTTTGCTGCGCGCCCCTTTCCGTCACGTCCAATGTCGATATATGTCGATGACAAAGCGCCGATGACGAGCGACTGCTGAAGCAGCCATGTGGACACCTGCGCCTCACTCCGCGCATGCCGCCCGGACGGAGGTCGGAGCTCGAGCTGCCAGGGCCACTGCACTCGTCCACCTGCCAGCCGCCAACCTCTCGTGCCGGGCTCCACCGGCGACCCCGCGAACCGACCCCAAGCTCCATATGCCCATCCCGATCCTGAGCTCCTCGCGTTCAGGCCAGGGGCATACTGACGAGCACCAGATCTGCAAGCTGCCTGGCTACTGCTGCACTACTGCACAATCCCCCGGACCAACTATATGTGGTGCCCTCGCACTGCCCATTTCGCTGCGGACTGCGATGCTGCTGTTGCGGCTTCTGTGTGCACAGGCGATCAATTGCCAGCTGCTGCAGTACAGGCCTCGCAGCTTGCCCTTGGGTTCGGCGGGCTCGAACTGCGCTCGGCAGTTGCTGACCGCTATGCCGCCTACTGGGCATCCTGGCTCAACACTCTCCTAGCCTTCCGCGCCCGCTCCTCGCAGATCGCCGCCTCCTGCGCGCGCTCGCCGCACCCCATGCCAGCAGTGCAATAGCGAACACCCTCCCTAATAATCGGTGGATGCGGGGGTGGGTGGGTGTCCGTGCCACCTATTTTAAATCGGTGGCGCGACCTATTTTCGAAGACAGACCGCTGTCACTAATAACAGGGGGCAGGCCGGGCAGGCAGATTTAGGCTCTTGGGTTTGCAGGCTTCCAACGCCTTCGGGCTTTCGGTATCGGGTTATTGTACGAGCTCCGCGGCGGGTTCCCCGTAAGTTGGTGTCTCTGCAGCTATCAGACGCAGAAAACGTCAACCCCAAACCCAAAAACCTTAAACCCTACCTGTAGCCGAAGAAAAGACCTGCCTTTTGAGGGTTCCTTGATTTTTTCGATATGTAGTTCCTTAAAAAAGTACGTTTTTTTGGGCCGCTGGTTCGACCCGGAAACCTAATAACTGCTGTCGTGGCGGCAGCGCAAGCCGCAGACCACCTCGATGTTCAAGGCTACCACGTCCCCGCTTGGGATGCCCCAGAACCGTGGCACCCTGGGCGCACAGATGCCGGCGACAGCCGAGGCTTGCAGCGACCAGCGCGCGGTTGAGACGCATTTCGCCACCCTGCCCTCGCGTCCCGAGCGCTTTTGCTGTCCCAGGCTGGGCCAGATGCCGCCTGCTGCTTTACAGTCCGCCCTACTCACGAAACAGTCACCATCCCCTCCTCAGAGTTCCGGGTGCTCCATGAATTGCACCCCGACGACCAACGAGCAGCCTGTGCGACCTCGGGTGCCCTTGCCTCCCGCGTGACCAGGCTGTCAGCCCGCCCGCAAGTGCACCTTGCAGACATGAGCCTCTCCATCCCCGTGCCCGATGCACGCCGGATCGAAATCGTTTGCAGTGGCTTTGGCTCGGGGCTCAGCTTGCTGTCGATACCACCTGCATCAGCTCTGGCACTCGCTCCGGCGAGCCCGGCCGGGGGCTGAGAGTCAACCCGTCGTCGCCCTTATGGCGTAAGCGTCGCGACCCTCGTACCCCAGCTACCACTGCCACCTCGTCGTATTCGCTGTCGTGGCCGCTGCGGTTCCGAGCCCGCAACTTTCCTGCGGCTCCTTCCACGGCGCGAGCCGCGCGTGCACACGCTGCCGTTCGGTCGGTTGTGCGTGCGGCCTATGTGTGTCCCGCTGGAGTGGCATCATCGCCGTCGCGGCGCAGAGGGCCGAGGGCAGCTCTTTGCTCGGTTGCGCATGAGGTCCTGCAACACGAACGCTGGCTCCACGCCCCTGCCCGCGGCCGACTCCCAGCGAGGACCTGTAGGTCCCCGGCACAGCACAACTGTGCCGCCGTTGGTGGAGCTTGCTTGTGTGCGTGCTTTTTTGTTGCTGTCCAGCATGCCGTTGGTCACATAGTGCCATAAGCCGCTAGGCGTGCCCGGGGGCATGCCGGGACCGGCACAGGCTCATTCGCCGGCCTTGAATGAGGTCTTGGACCTGGCTGCGCTGAGCCGGCCCTATAAGCCGGGACCGACCTCCGCCTGCAAGCCGCGGACGTAACCCGACATTGCTGCTGATTGCACAAAGTGTGAAGAAAGAAGCGCATTCCATGGCTAAGTGTTTGGGAACTGAAATTTGTGCACGTGTCGCAGCAACTGTGCACACAGGGATTGGTGCGTCTTGTGGGTTAGACATGTGTCGCTTGATGTTTGCAATGCAAGCATCAGTTGGGCATGTCGTCTATAGACTTGACTTGTGTTGGCGCGACTTCGGCCCATCTTCGATTTCCCGTGCGAGAAGACTTGGCTGTCAGGTTCCAGGGAAACGTGCGCCTCCCTAGTTGTTGTACTTTAATTGTCTAGGTTGTGTACCTGCTTTGGATTACCGACCAACATTCAGCAAAACTTGTACAAGAACGCTTCCCTTGGCGACAGCGTCGCGCGTCTACGCGTCCCCGCTGCGTGCGATGGGGCTGTGGTGATATCGGGAAACAGAGCTGCGACAGTCCAGGAATTCGGAGGTGGCACACGCCGACCGGTGGTTACCAGTTGCACGGGGGGTCGCAGCCTGCACAGCAACAATTATCGGCTTTGCGCGGACAGGATGACGAGCTCCGCATGCGTGCGGTTTCAACATGTCCCCACCTGCGAAAGCAGCATGGCTCGAAATACAGAAACGTGAAGGTCGGAAAGGTGCATCTGAAAGTGCACTCACGTACTATGGCTGCGTGTCGCTGCAAGCCTCCGACGTCGTCGTCATTATCCACATCGCCAGGTAGCATGGGTGGGAATGAG